AGATTCGTATCATAATTGTTATGAACTATTGTATTACGCTCACTTTTACAGTCATTGAAATTACTTTCGCAAACGAGGGGTAGGTAATTGAAAAATGATATAAGGCCTGTTGAACTGATAATCTCATCATACAACCTATAGACAAATACGAACTAGTGAAAGATTTTGTTATTCCCATGAATTTTTGATATTATTCAAACTAAGATTGGTAACCAATTTTATGCAACCTACATTTTGTATTTTTATCGAATATGCAATTGGCAAGTATGTTATTTTTTTTCTATACATTTTTTCGCATAAGTATGAAATTCTTTTCAATTTCTTCATTTTTAAGTTATTGTTAGTAAAAATAAGCATTTATGCCAGACGGTCGAAAAGTTCGTTACCTCAATTTTTGATAATTTTTGTCAAATTGAAAATTAAAGTTCGAAATTATTAATTTGTGATGCTATTTTAACATTTTGAATTTTGTATTCGAATTTTTTTTATTCATAACCTATTGTTTCATATAAGCATGCCTACATATGAAACTTTTATATAAGTATATATCAATTTCAGATATTTGATGGGTAGATGTAAATTTATTATCGAGTAATTGCGAAAATTCATTTTAACCTATGGCAAGCCGGGGCCTAAGATTTAAATCAGGGACAAATTTTCTTTTTAGGATAACCCGGGTACAAGGTGGAAATCCGGGACTATCCGGGTTAAACTGGGACTTAATTATATTAAAGTTTCAAAAGTTTTCAGATTGTGTCAGAAAAAATGAAAAACATGACCTTGGGTTTCAATTAATGTATTATATTTCTTTATGCAACGGTAAATACCAGAAATTGGATTGAAGGTGCAATGCCATTTACAAGTCGTGTCTCATTCAAGATGTACTATGAAAGAGACGCAAACCGCTGTTTTGGGTGATTACTTTGCCCTATAACTTCCTATGGTGCATTTAGCGTTATTAGGAAAGCGTGAGCTTCGGATAGCGCGAGCTTTCGGACAGCATGATGCGTAATTGTTTAAATTCGCGTATGGATATGTTGGTTCCGTGTCAAGTAGTCGGAATCCGCTACCCGTTCTCGTGTATGACATGCATTCGGTTCGTTAGGGCAATACGCGCGCACGTATCCCGAGGGACTCGCGGGGAACTATGTGAACAAGTGCAACCGTATTCTCTCACAGAGAACAACGCTTTAATGCGTCAGAATGCGAAATGTTGAATACGACATTTTAGAGATTGCAAGGGACTAACACTTTTTACGACCGTTTTCTCATCTATTGACCGTTATCAACTTATTTAATGGGAAACTATGAGTAGTAACTGCATTTTACTACTAACTTTTGTAATATCATTTCTTGTCTATTAAGATAATGTGCATATATGAATTGATATTTTATTTACTGAAATAAATTAAAACTAGCTGTAAGTGGAATTCTGTCTTGAGGCAATTATGGCATCGTCCCTTAAGGCAAATTGCTGGAACTTCCCGTACCGTAACGAAATGTTCGTGGAATACTAAATGTTTTCAAATAGATTATCATAAATATTGTAACATTGTCTAATATTTATAAGAATTATATAAACTGAATTGCAGAGTTGAAATTATTTGTAAAGTATATAAAAAAAAAAGGGATTAAAATTTTTTTTCCAAAATCTATTAATTTGTTAAGACAAGCAGAAAGTTCTTTGAATCATTTCAATCGGACGCTTAGTTCTCTCAAAAATTGTCATTTTTTACATATTTAGCTCCGTATCTTCAAAATGGCTGGGCCTGCCTTTGCCAAAAACTAATAAACACTTCTCCCAATCATTACTAATTGAATGTTTTTTAGATCATTCAAATCGGATACTCCGTCCTCTCAAAAATTCGATTTCTACTTTCTGCACTCTTTGCTCCGTATCTCCGAAACGGCCTTTCCCAAAAACTAATCAGCTCTTTTCCCTATCAATAGGAATCGAATGTTTTTTGAACCATTCAAATCGGTTGATCCGTACGCCCGAAAACGTGGACGAAAATTTGTATCCATACATACATACACACACACACACACACACATCCATTTTTTCTGAGGTATGCCAAAACGTTCAGAAACCTTCAAAACGTCGAGAAATGTAAAAATTTTCAATTTCGATTTTCGGCCCATTACAATAACTTACCCTACGGGAAGTTAATAAAATATCGATAATTAATAATTAAAGACATTTTGTTAATTCTTATGAATTTATGGCAATTTGTTATACAATAGCATCATAGAAATATAAATTGCTGGGCGTGAATGGCACGTATATAAAGCAACAGATATTCTAGCTTTTTTACTAAATAGAAAAAATCAAAAATAAAATTATATCAAACTACTATAAAAACACAAACAAAACATATGCTCATACTCATACTCAGCCATCGCATCACGCACACATCTTTGCCCGAACGCACACATCTTTGTCCTTACGAATACGGTTAGACAGACGAAAAACAAACAAAACAAAAGTGAAAGAAGACTTGAATCGTTTCAGTGTTCTTTGCTCGAACATTTCTGAATATGTCACCCGTGTCCCTCCACGAAAACAATCAGAAAGTAAACGGAAGTACGACCACCGCCGGTTGCCGGAATAATCCGGAATAAGGGAATTTAAGGCGTGTCGGGAATTGTGTCACAGTTACCCGTCCAATGCGCATAGTGGAAAGCTCTCGTATCGCCTGTTCATTGGCGTCGGTAGCACCCTTCGCCAACCATCGCGAGCGAGCCCCGCCTCGATTCACTAGGGTTGTTTGAGCTTTTTTCATGCCTCTCGCTTTCGTTCGATGCTACATCCCTCTTACGCATCGACGACCAAACGGGGGATGCCGGAACACCTCAAACCCCGAACTAAATTTGGAAGGGCTGCTTCACTAAGGTTGCGGATACGTTATTGAATTAATTTTATCATTTGATTCCGATTCAAGCAACCATTCGCATCGGACAGCGCGCAACGTGCAGCGATCGGCGTGCTTATGGTGACGGTCAGTCAGTGTAACCCAACAAAGGTTTGCCAAGTGTCATAGTGTTACCGGATGCGACCTACTGGTACCTAGGTGGTCGTCAATGATTTCTTAAACGACTTTAATTTGTGCCGATACGAAAATTTTCAGTGAAATTTTTTAATTTAAATTACAGTGCAGTGAATTTGACAATGATAAATGCGTAGTTTACGTGGTGTATTTTCGCTTGAAACAGTAAAGCTTCGTATCCGAAAAGCATGGACTACTCGTACCTGAACCAGGCCGGCTTCGACACCTCAGGATGCCTACAAGGACCCGCGCCAGGTATGGTAGATATGACGAGCCTGGGAGGCATGCCGTGCACGTACGGAGACCTATCGTCGTGCAGTCAGATGTCTCAGGCTGCTTACCGATATACCGCGAGTATGGCGGCGTCCAGAAGCGTCGGCTATGGTTCAGGTACGGCCGGACATCACACCGGCGTCAGTTCCGCCGGTCCCTGCTCCGCAATGAGCGTGCGGCCGCATCCGCAGGACGTACGGGCGGCTATGTTCCCTGCTTCTATGGGACTTCAAAGTAAGGATTTTTTCAAAATTTACTTTAAATCGCTGTCTATTTGCGCAATGTTTAACGACTGAAAATAACTGATAATGGTTCAGTCTGATTTTTGCGCATTTATGTAATATTTCACGTATTAATAAAAGAGTACACATACCATTGTCTTCGTCTTCATTATTTTGGGTTATATTGTTGAGAACATTGTATCTTCGTATCTAAAATAGGCAGCTGAGGCATTAGACCAATATAATCAATCAAAAAAGTTTAATTCGAACATTCCAGATATTTTTAAATTTAACGGCAACTTATATGAGTTAAAAGCGATATGTGATTTTTATCTTTCATTTGTTTTTGTTTACAGTGAAATTTGTATATCACTGGACATGTATTTTAATTTTTTATATAATTTTACTGGAATCCACACACGATTTATTATTTATTTATATCCTTATATATATTATTATATATATAAGGATCATCAAAGATCTCAGACACAATTTTCCTCTAGACATTAAATATTATTGAAATATATATTTCCGACTTTTTGTCTCAGCCTCTTGTGGGTTGTCGACATATATCATAATCCGCATTTATGGTAGGCACACGCATCATATAACCAAGAAGATATTACATTACCATTAATATCAATTGAATTGCGTTCTTTCTATGACATTTATAAAAGGAAAATAAGCGTTTGTATTGACTAGGAAAATATGGAGTCATATAAGAAATATTAACTCGGGATCGACGTTTCGGATTTTTTTCTTTATATTTACCCCATTTATATAAATACTTTATTTATATTTAATATAATTCTGTTATAGTTGGAAAAATAATTATAATACATACTTGTGTGTTATAATGATGAATAACCATAATGATTCCGATGATGAATAACTATGTTCAAATATTACGTTTTTCATGATACTTTGTTTTTTTCAAAATTTTTGTATAAAAATTTTAGATATCCTAATTTTACCTTCCTCAAAAATATAACACAGATACATACTCTCACAACCATTGATTTAAAAAAAAATAAAGCTTTTGTTTCTTAAATATATTTTGTTTGTAAAAAACTATGTCTTGGTAATGTTTCACATATTTTTTCATAAATTTGTAAATAAAGTTAACTTCAAAACATTCTTTTCTCATACATATTTTTATAATATTTTATTTTTGAAACTTAATTTTATAAAGACTACAGGAATAAATCTTGACAATTTAATATAATAAATAAGCATAAATATCTAATTAAAGCTTCTTTCGTATTAAACTTTTAAATACATATTTTTTACACTTTTTTAATTTAGTTTTTTTTTGTTTATTCAACATAATCTAAAAATTTTACTTATTGACAGATTTTTATGTATATATTTATGCATGTGCATATGTGCGTGTTCATATATTTTTTCAGTGAATATATATGTATATATTTATGTATATATATATATATATATATATATATATATATAACGGTGTCCAAAACACTATTACATAATATCAACAAAAAAGTTGAAACTAGATAACAAACGTCAAACGTCGAGAGCTTTTAATATTTCAATTCGCGACATTTGGATGCAATGTAAAGTGCATTTATTTTTTTTTGTCGTTGAATATTTTCACAGCGGTCTGGAAAACATAGACGATATTGAATAAATTATTATTAGTAACAAGTTTCATTTTTATTAATTAAAAATAGTTGTTTAATAGAAAATATTAATTAATTATACTTGTGTCATGTAGTTAACACTTTTTTTAAATCGATTTTAAAATTTGATATATTTAAGAATTTTAAAATATAGGCGCTAATACGATATACTGAACTATTTATATATATATATATATATATATATATGTGTGTGTATGTGTATTATGATTTAATTTTTCTGAACTAAGAGTCCTCGTTTTTTAAAAAAAATATTTATTCCATTTTTTATTTATAAATCTTATCTAAACATCCTTTGTTGATGACGTAAAATATAAAATCGAAACGTTTTGGATATTAAGGATTATTATTTGACTTATTATTTAATGTATCGCTTCAGAAGATATTAATTTAATTAAATGCATTTTCTTTTAAGAATTGTTTTTGGTTATACTTATATGGTACTTTGTTTGAAATGACTAATTGTAAGACAATATTTCAAAGCACAGTTTCTTATTGCCGCTGAATTATAAATAATTCTAAAAATATATAAAAATTTTCAGATGAATAAGATCATTTCTTTACAATGTTAGCTATCCAGAAAAACTTAAACATATGTTTTACAAAATTACAAAATGAACCTAATCAAATTGTTTACAAAATAACAAAATTACGAAATTTTATTAAATATTTTTTTATGACTTGTTGTTAGCTTACGCTTGTAAATATTAGAAGAAATGGAAGATATAGCTCTTGACGATTAAATTGATTGCTGCGTTTTTATTATTGACCTCTAAAAATATTCGTTTTATGAAAATATATAGTGAAAATTGTAGAATCACTTTTTATTATTCGTATTATTTGTTTTTATTAAGTACTAATTCAAATTGAAATATTTAGTTTTATTCTCAGACAGAATTTTATTTTATGAAATAAATTTTATATAAATTTCTATCATTATTGTTTTTTTTTTTATTTATATATATACATTATTTTCATATCTCAGACAGACAGAAGTGCCCGGTATGAAAGATTATGAAAACAGTTTTCATATATACATTTTCTATATATATATTTCATTAATATAATATCTATTATAAATAAAATATCTCTATCTTTATATAATTCTTCAGTCTTCTTTGTCTTCAATTTCCTTAATTAATTAATTTATAATTTAATTTAATTTAAGGTTAATTATTTCAACTTAATCGCTTTCTAGAACGATTGAAATAATCGCCAAATTCTGGTCCATTTTTTTGAAGGTATGCCAAAATGTTCAGAATCCTCTGAAACGTAAAGATATGCAAAAATTTTCATTTTTGATTTTTTGCGATTACTATAACTAATCCTAGGGAAAGTTAATTAACGGAATCACTCACCACTTTACAGCACTCTTTTCCGTTGTGTTTGATAAATATATAATAAATTCAGTTAGAATATATAGTTTTATCGTTAGACAGAGTTTAACTTTATGGTTACCATAAAGATAATTTGAACTAATTTCAATGATTTCGGATAAATTATTTCAATTTAATCGCTTTCTAGAACGATTAAATTAATCGCAGCATTCTGCGCATCGTCCGCCAGATCCTTTGAAATCGCACAATCGTACATTATTACCCATAGTCGGTTTGAATAGGTTTAGTAGGTGTTTAAGTTGCGGCACTGAACCTGTTGCATAAATCATCAAATGAGGTGAATATTAAACTTGATAACAGCCGTATCATAGATCTATGATTCCATCAAACCGCCGTGAAATTTATATGAAATAGTAAAATATAGTTTCAGTTTCACTCATACATCGAAAGATGCACGACAAATTTTATTGATAATCAGAAATATGATTTCTTTATACCGCAGTGTAATTGGAAATGAAATCATAAAATATCGTTTTATTTATCTAAAATTGCACGACAAACTATATTGATAACATTTGCAAGTTCAACATTTTGTGTGTGCTAGGAGAATTGGTAGGATCGTAATTGTTAGAAAAAATTCTGAGAAATTTATTACGAAGATGATTTTTTTGTTTAATTATAACATGCTCATGAGTATGTTGAATCCGTTCTATATTTTTTTTGTTTGTCTTACGTAATTGAAATAAATGTTTCTCGTTTTTAGCTCATCAAATACTTAAATATTTCGTAATTTTAAAATAAAAGGTAGTAATTTTAAAATATATGTAGTGAACTTAAAATAATATAAATACATATACACATACATATATGGGGTAGACCGGGGCTTAAAGGTCTCCGGGTAGAAATATCCATCACCATTTTTTCAAACACAAGTAAAGTATAAAATTTTTTAACGATAAAGGCCCTTGTATCAATATTCAAACTAAAGTTCTTTTTCCCTTAATAGTTTTTTTGGTTTTGAGCTCTTTAACTTATTGTTGGTGTATTAAATATTTGAATATAATTTTGAAGTATACGTTATTTAATTTTTTTTGTAAAATGTATTGTTATTTTTAATTTAGATTTAACAGTTTTTTCATATAACCTCTATAAAAGTTTACATGTAGGTGGGATAAAAAAACCACCTAAATAAATCTTCACACTGGCAAAGATAAAAAACAGTAAGAAAATAGAAAATACTGAAGTATATTAAGTTAAAAAAGCTATTTTGCGAGAGATAAATTAAATTAATAATTATTCCAACTCTGTTGATGAATATTTCTCACGAAATTCCAGATCAAGATTATACACAGTGTAAAGTTTGTAAAACATGTGCTCATGAAATTTTTATATCACATTGGTTGAATAATTTAGCTCATTTCAATCCTTTTATAATAATTTTTTGGATTTGAGCTTTTTGCCCCCTGGCTGTCCCATTTTATCTAGCCTATTGGGTAAAAAGGGACAGGTAACAAATTTTAGGAAAATAGCTAAAAAACATCTTTTTATAATTAAGATTTAACTGGGAATGTTGCTGAACAAGGTTCGATAGTTGTTTGTTTAATACTTGTATTTGTTGTGATGTAGTTCATGTGGCTTAGTATAATTACTGACATTAAAATTGGATCTTTGTGCCCCGCCCTACCCTAAATATGTATAAAACCTTCAAAATATGAAAACATTAATATATTTAATGTAATTGTTATTAATATAATTTTTTGATAATTATACTCTAAATCTGTAATTAATGAAATATTAAGATTTGTTTTGATAGAGATGCAAAGACTAATTTCAAATATTATTTAAAATGTACATATCCAATCTTCTGAAAATGTCTCAATTTTAGAAATTAAAAGTATTGTTTCAATCTATAGTTCTGAAAGTTATAGTAAACAATTTACTATATCTGATATTTCTCAAAGTACATAAACACGTTTTTCCTCCGTCATATGCTTAATACGACGTTCAACTTAATTCCCATACGGCAATGAAGCAGAATGTATGTTATTGTCCACGGGCGAAAGTGACGATGTTCGTATTAAGCTACTAAGAACGTACGTGTGAAATTTTAAAACTGATAACCTAGAATAAATGATCATCTAGACGCGACGTCTTGTTCTTGATATTATCTTGTCACCATCGGGTAGTCGGGCGGCCGTGTAGTAGGATCTTCAAGTGAGTGGGTGGGACGACTGGGATGCTCCACCGTTGTCGTTCCTCTGGCTCTTTTTTGAGGGTGGACGCCGGTCGGATCGATAGGCGTCGTACTGTGTATGTTCTACGCTCCACGACAATTCTCTCTTTCCTTCGGCTGAGATCTCGTGAGATGCGCGAGAAGATGTACAGCGACGACGCACAAAAATGAGAATCGGCCAAGTGTAACGGTCGTCGCTTTATCTTTATCTTTATCTTTATACGATGTCATGAATCCAATTATCATATTATTTCCATACCGTATGCGGAATCAACATGAAACTGTGTTATTATCGCCGTCAAAACAGACAGTTACGCTTTAAGATTATGGGATGTCTTGAACGCGTATTATCGGAATATTATTTCTATGAAAATAGATGAGGCGATGGCATATGCGGCGTCGTCGGCATTTGCATAATGTCTTATTCAATTGTGCAGTAAATGGGACTGTGATAAACGTTCAAGTATGATACACATATTTTGTATCTAGATATTATGGATTCAGTTAGTGGACAAGATTCCAAAAAAAAGATTTATTATAATACAATATGATCAGTTAGAATGACTACTATTGAGTAATAAGAATTTTATATTTTCAACGTCAGTACAATTACTTCTTTCTTGATTATTATATTATCTGAATTTGTGAAACATGTCAAAATATAATTATTCTCTCTTAAGTAAATTTCATGTTAATAACGGACAAAATAAGTTATTAACACTACACAATTGCAAACCTAGACTATAAATAATTCGGACATTTAAGTTAAAACTACATTTATGTTATTGCAGTCTAGGAACTGAAAGTTTTTGGACCTTTCTCCCTCGAAAAATGATTTTATAAAAATAATTTTCATTTATTTTATTCTAGGTGATATGGAATGTTTCTTTCTTCATAAAACAATTAATAACAATCAAAATTTTTGTTATATGTACTTTCTATTTAATTATTTGTAAATTAAAAGAATTCATTTCACGCGGCTTACAGATCGTGTTAATGTAGCGCACTGACTCAATGCAATAATAGAAACTTGTTCGAATAAACATGCTTCATCTTTCTTTCTTTGGGCCCTATCTCAAAATCAGTATAGTTTAACTATTGTGATGGCTGTCACTATCGTACCATGGGATAATCGTACCCAGTCTCCTCTATATATGATTGTATGTGTAACTTTTTTTTAACATAAAATTGAATCGAGTAAACTAAACTAACTTAATTGTATTTATTATTACTACTGTAAACAAGGTGTCGAAATGATATGTATTTTGGTGTCGAGGAAATGTTTTTGATATTTATTATTTTATTGAATTATAAATATTTGAATATATATAATATATATTTGAATATATATATATATATATATATATATATATATATATATATACATATTAGTCATGTTTATTGTTATTCTATATTTTATCATTTTGTTTTTTCAGGTGGTCTTCCATACAAAGTGTATCCTGGGCACGACGGTGGAGCACTGACGGAAAAGCGAAAACAGAGACGCATTCGGACTACGTTTACATCGGCCCAGCTCAAGGAATTAGAACGAGCATTTCAAGAAACGCATTATCCGGACATTTACACGAGAGAAGAGATAGCCATGAAAATCGACTTGACTGAAGCGAGAGTACAGGTAAGTCAATTGTAAGATTCTATTATATTTGTCATCATTTGAAAGCGCTGAGTGGTTCAGCTAGAAATTGTGTATGTTATTTTATTTTTGTGTATGATTCGAACCGCCAAGAAAAATTGTTTTTTAAATTAATTTATTATCTTGTTGACACCGCATTTCTCTATACTAAGCAGTGGTAATAGCCGCCGAGATTTGTGTCCGAGGTGTTTATTGTATTATGATCACGTGTCGTTTACTATAGTTAATGGAGTTTGCGTCCGTTTGCTGTAAACAACTTCCGGCGAGTTCTTTTTCTGCTGTCGATCGGTAATGGCTGATATTCACCCTCCGCCTTCGAGGGCGGCTTTGGAGCCACACCTGCGTCCTGCACATTTCCCTCGCCACTGCCTTCCTCCGCGGCGCGAACAATAAAAATGGCGGCACCCACGTGACGTTGAATTAAATATAAGACGCGATAGAGGGTTGCACGAGCAACCAGATTCCGAGTGAGCGCACTCACGGTTTTAGCGGAGTGCGCCTAGTACCGGAAAATTCGAAGTCGCTCGAGAAATCCGGACAGAAGACCGCACGGCGCACTCTGAATTGCAGCGACAGAAATGTTTCGACTCCTCATATGCTGACGTATTATCTTAAATCATATTTAAAATTTTTTCTTATCACATTTCTGTTTCATATAAAGTTCTTTAGGTCACGTCTTTAGCAAATAGGGGAGAATGGGTACGGTTGTGCCAGGGTACGGTAGTGACAGTCGTCATAAAAGCTAAACGATACTGATCTTGAGATAGAGTCGAAAGGGAGAAAGATGAAGAGTGATTGTTCGAACAAGTTCCTATTGTTCAGTCAGTGCCTCACATTAACATGATCTGTAGACTGCATTGCTTTTAAAGAGTCAAAAGTAAGTTTTCATGTTCGAATTCTTTTAATCATAACTGTTAAGGGGCTAATTTATATTAAAAAAACTACTTTATAAATCATTTCAAAATTTTAGGAGTATATTTATACATGTGTTTAAGAATACATAGTAAAATTTTTTTAAAAAAAAATTGAATATTTTTTAAGTTATCGTCGATCTCCAACGGCGCGACAAAAAAGGCCGTTCACTGCTGCAGTGATTCCGGCCTTCTACGTCGATGAAATTTAAAAAAAAAAATCTCGTTAAACTAGATAATATTGTCTGTAAAATAAACTACGATAAAAAAATCTAAAATTGACAAAATGACGGCGTTTTTGTAAAAAAAGTCAAATTTTACCCCAAATTTTGGTCGTTTTTGGACTGCCAAAATTCGATTTTTGATCCGATCAAAAAATCGATAGTTCATTTTACGGAGAACTATATATAGAACATGTAAAAAAAAATGATAGTGATCGGATCATTTTTTTTTGATAATCGCTGCAGCAAATTTGGAAAATGCTGTTTCGAGAAAAACGCGTTTAAAGATAAAATGATCGTTATACTATATGCTATATATATACTTTTTAAATGGCTGTGACTCAAAAACTATTTAAGATATCGATTTAAAATTTTGGTATGTTATTTTTGAAGGTATAATCTATCGAAATATGGAAAAATTGAATATTCGATTTTTTTAAAATTTCACATTAGTTGTTCCCCTTAATTGTATGCAGATCGATTATTTTGCTTATTATTTTGCTGTAACTAGAACAGTAGTAGTTAATTACCAGATGATTTGTTTTCTTAATTGTACGTTGGGTACATGACAAGTTTTGGGCTACGGTTGTGGCATGTATTTCTTGTTCTTTTCGGATGAAGATTAAACAGATAAAAAATCTAACTTAAATAAGACAAAATACGAAAGAGAAAGTGAAAGAAAAATTCAACATAAAAAATTAGAAAAAATCACAAAGAATTCTTGTTAACTTTGTTAAAAATTTATGTTTTGTTATATATTATTATATTCTATTAATCTATTAGGCGTTGTTTATACACTCATGTTTATTGTGAACTATTATTGTTATTACCGACAATAAAAGTCGTTATAAACC